TCTCAAATAAATAAATCTTTAAAAAAAAAAAAAAAGAAAAGAAAACAAGAACATAAAGTATCTCATGATACTTTTTCTTATGTTATCTACAACTTGAAATTATAGTCTGAACACGTAGAATTAAATAAAATATATCATTAAGTTTAATCAGTTTCTTTTTACTTTCTTTTTAAGATATAACCTACATGCAACATTTTGTTAGTTTCAGGTATATATATTTTTCTTTAATGTGGCTAGTAGAAAATTTAAAATTTCCTAAGTGGCGTGCAAACTATTACAACTGAATGGTGGTATAAATCTAGAGGCCTCAGAGAAGTCTTATGAAGAGAACATCGCATATCGCCCCTGCAAGAGATCTGAAAACCACCTGAAACTTGCAACGCTGGCTTTTCCTGTGGTTGCTTCCTTTAGGTGAGGCGAGCAAGCTACAGGCGGGCTGTGGGACAAGCCTGGTCTGCCACCTGATCTAGTGAACAGTTTTGCAGGGACACAGCCTCCTTCATCTGCGTACAGTCTGCGGCCGCTGCCCAGTGGCGGCAGAGGGAAGGAGTAGTCACGACAGGCTCAAAAAGCCTGAGATACTTAGTGCCGCCACCCCGCTGCCCAAGAGGCAGCTCCATGGTAAGTGAAAAGGAGGTGCAGACGGCAAAGAGGCACATGCACACCGCAAGGGCCAGCCTGGAGCTGCCTCCTCTCCCGTACCCGACACACCAAGTGCTGTGGCCTCTCCTCTGCGTCCCCAAGTTTCTGCAGCACTTGGGGCCCCCTCCTGCCCCCCTGCCCAAACTCCCACCGTGGCCTCTCGGCGGTTGGCCTGCCCTCCCTCTGGTGGGTCTGCCTCCAGCACTGAGCATCCTAAAGGGACCCTGGGCACTGTCCCTTTCCTGCGCAGCTTCACTAGGCTCACCTCACCTCAGCCCTCATCTGCACTTGGGCACCAGCCCTCAGAGCACAGGTGTGTGTGTGGGGGGCAGTGAGCCCCATGCCCCAGTGGCCAGCTCACTGCCCATACCCTTACCACACCCTCTTGTACGCCTGGGGCCGCGGGCCGCTCTCTTGCTCCCTGGCGGGTCCCTCTTCCAGGAGAGGGGCTGCACGCATTTATTATCCTATCCCCAGTCTCCAGCATCTAGCAAGCACATAAAGAATTAGAGACACAGGGGTCTTTCCTATCCTGTTACCCCAGGGTAGGAGTTAATGAGCCAGAAATCCCTAAGCCAGATCAGGATGCCTCCACAAATGCAGAGTCTGGAGGGCTGGGGGCCAGCACTCACCGATTGAGTTCATGGACCATGGAAGTCTCTCGATGGCCCCTCATCACCATCTGCTGCTCCTTCAGCTGCTTTGCAACCTGCATGATGCCCACCAAGGAGACAACGTTAAATCTGAAACCTGAACTTGAAGGGAAGGCAGACGTGTCTCCTGGTGGGACTCAACGCTCACATCTTTTTCTCTTCTGCGCCCTCAACACTCACACAGGAAACTGCGACTTTGCCGTGGAGAAGTCACGTGACGAGGCCTAACCGCACACTGTGGCTCCAGCTTCCCCAGCTGAGCGCTCACTTACCGCTGCGCTTTAGCTTTGGCCACTAAGGGTTCGGAACTGCCCCACAATGAGCATGAAGCGTCTGCGGGTGTTCACAGACCGCTTTCTTAGCAAGAGGAGACAGGCTGAGACCCCTCAGGCCCCAGATGGATAAGGACTATTGTTTCCTGGTTTAACCTCTCTAGAAACTTACTGTAACTCATACTTACATCTTTGGCAGAGGAGCCCGAGACCTCGATCCATGTTTTGGAGAAGAATGCACACGAGCCGAGCATGAACACTATATACACCACGGCATGGACAGGATCTTCTAACACGGAGCCAAAAGATTCTGGCGGGGACAGGTAATAGCAAAGGCCGCCGACTGGATACGCACGCGCTGGGCCCCCGGAAGAGGTATCCTGGAAAGAATACGCAGGGAGCCTGTGAGAGCCGTTTCGTCATACCTCCGCATCAGGACAGACATAGTTCTGAGCAGATGACAAAAAGACGACGATTTTGCTCAAGTGCCCGTAGTACAGTTCCCTCACCGAAAAGGGAATTGAATGTGCTGAATCTGTAAAGGGCATGATTAGCAAATACCCACGGGTGAAATATCTGGTCACATGCAGCAACCTGCCGCGGCGCTAAAACTGATGGCCCCGAGCGGCCGTACTTACAGACCAGGTGCCCAGCAGGCTGACCAGCAGATTGCCACTGAAGCGGGCGGACAGCATCTGGGAGATGACGTACAGGTTGGACACCAGGGCGGACTGCAGGATGATGGGGATGTTGGAGGTGTAGAAGAGCTTGATAGGGTAGGTATTGTACTGGCCTCGGTAACGGGCTGACTTGATGGGCAGGTCCACGCGGAAGCCCTGAGACACCAAACAGAGCAGAATGCCCTTCACTGCCTCATCCGGCCCACTGCCCAGAAGCCCCGGCCAGCCGGGGACAGCCACCAGGGAGCCGGCCCCAAGCACTGCTGCCAGGGCTCTGGTTCCCCTGCCTTAGCCATCTCTGCACCTGGGGGCATTGGAACAGAAGGTTCCCAGAAGGGGCGCCTCGGTGGCTCAGTCAGTTAAGCGTCTGCCTTCGGCTTAGGTCATGATCGTTGAGCCCCACGTCGGGCTCCCTGCTCAGCGGGGAGCCAGCTTCTCCCTCTCCCTCTGCCCCTCTCCCACACTCCTGTGCTCTCGTGCGCTCTCTCTTCTCTCCTTCTGTTCTCTCTCTCAAATAAATAAGTAAAATCTTAAAAAAAAAAAAAGGCTCCCAGAAATACTGGCTTAAAAATGCACCAAAGCCCAGCAGAGATAATCCCATTTTTGTCAGAAACCAAAGTCCAGCACATTACATCCAGCTCTATGTAGAATATACTAGAAAAGCCTGAAGAACACCTGCCCAAGTCCTAGCAGTGCTTCTCTCGCCTATGCTTTCAGTGGCTCCAAGACCATGCCACCACAGCATCTGCCTTGCACCCGAGAACAGCCATTTAGGAAGTTTCTAATCATACACAGAAAAGCCAAGCTTTTCTATGAATATGACCTCTCCCTCGGAAACCCTTGGAGGAAGGGTTTCTTCTGTATGATTTTCACAAACCCTCAGTGCCTAGAACAGGGCTTAGAATATGTAAGACTTAAAATAAAATCTTCATGCTCCAAATGCAAATACTTGCCAAGCCCCTAAAGAGTCCGCTTGTTAGTAATGAGGCATCTGAGTCTTAGCCAAAGGAACAGAACTGTTCGCTCCTCGGAAAAAGCATTTGCCTGGTTTAAATACCTTTCCAACAAGCATTCAACTACTCTCTCAACTGCTGTCTCTTCTTGTCAATAAATATTAGAATACAAAGTGGCTGATCAAGAAATACAGAGATTAATCCGACTACAGAAAAGCCAACTGGCAGTTCAGCTCTCTTGTTCAGAAGCAAGTGACACAGACGAATAATGTGAAGGGTAAGAGGAAGGCCTTTTCCAAGATGAGGCTCCTGCCTACAATTATGGTACAAACTTTGGGTAAGACAGAGACGAGGTGTTAAAGTTTGGTTACTTTTCACTTCTCTTGAACTAAGGACTTAAAATACCTTCTGTCAGCAGGCCCAATGCAAAGGAACACAATTCCAGAAATGTTAGCTCTGCCTCAACTGTTTCGTTCTGGCAAGTCCCCCGACTCAGTGGAAGGAACCTGTCCTTGAAATGCCATCTCATGTCAGTACAATGCGATGGGATAGGCTCCCCCTGGGTGTGGGTGGGGGACGTGTACACCAAGGCATTCTGACACTTAAATGCAGACCCATCAAAACTCACCACGCTGGGGTCTGGACGCACCTGGAAATAGATCACCACTGCAAAGACAAAGATGGTGGCGATCAGATTCATAAGGTTGGGAAGATTCTGGCGGTAGAAGGCCTCTCGAAGGGCTCGGACCTTGTCGGTGCGGGTGGCCAGGAGATGGAAGAGTGCAATGATGGCGCCTTCGAATTCCATTCCTGTTGGTGAAGGAGAGGGTGCACGTGGTAAAGAAACCACCCACCAACTAAATTTGGCTAAGGATTTTCTCAGTGGCCAAAAAGACTAAGTCCTACCATTTGCAGTGCCTACTCCCATAACCACAGGGAGAGAGTTCTCTCATCCACTGCTTTTGTAGAGACTGCAACCTGCAGAAAGGGCTATCTTACCTTCTGAATTAATTGATCTCAATTCTTTAGCATGTACGAATCAATGGCTACTGGATGTATGGCATGACGATCAGTTACAAAAACATAAAGGCAGGGTCTGCTGAACCCCAGTTGAAGGGGCCCTACACTGAAGAGGGGCCTCCAAGCTGCCAGATTCTCTTCCCAGAAATGCCCGGCCAGTCGGAGCATCAGCCCCTCCGAGGGGAGGGTGGGGCTCGGGCTCTGCTCCCTACATGGATGGCCAAGCGCAAAGGACCACACGTGCGCCCACCACAAGGCTGATCCAAATCCGAGTTGATGCCCTATGCCGAGAGGGTGTGGAAGGAGGCAGCCCAGTAAGAGCCAGGAAACCACAGGCATGAAGCAGGCTGAGCTTGCCAGAGACTGAAGGGAAAGAGCGAGACTGGGTACTTGACCTGAGGAGCAGGCAGCAGAGGGACAAGTGAGAGGAACCCGGGGAGCACAGGGCGTCAGTATGGCCTAGAGTTGTCTTAATTTTCAAGAAATTTATAGAGTTAAACAAACAAAAGCCAAAGCAAGGAACAAGAGCACCGTGTTACTGTGTAATCTCTGCTAACCCAGGACAGTCTATGTCATGACACAGTCTGGCGGCGCGCATGCCTGAAGCTAGTGCCATGTCTAGAGCCATGGTCTCTGAGGGCAGCTGGGGGCACGGGTAACAGTCGCGTGAGGTACGCCCTGGGACTGTCCTGCCACAGCATTTGCTCAAGTTTCTAACACATGGCGGCTGGCACCACCTGCTGCTGTTCCCAGGCCATTTCAAGACGAGGCTGTAGGCCAACCATCTAATGGGCATCACCACGGACCTCTTCTGGAATGTGGCTTCTGTGAAAGAAACACTGTCCCAACTGTCAGTAATTCCTCACCTCACCCTGGGACGCTGCGCTCAGTCCCCACGCAGCCCTGCTCCCAGGCTTGTGACAGCACTGGCCTGTCTTCCCAGGGCGCAGGGTTCAGGGATCTGAGAGCTGGAGCCAGGACAAGCGCGTGCCTCACAGGGGACGCCGCCCCAGCCGCCGGGGAAGAACTTGTTCCCTTCTGCCCTCTGTCCACACTGCTGATCTCAGCTCCGACTCCTCTCCCCTTGTTCATTCTGCACCAGCACACGCGCTGGCCTTGAACACCAGCTATGCTCCCACCTCAGGGCCTTGGCAGCTGGCTGTTCCCTCCAAATGGGACATTCTTTGCACAGTCCCTCCCCTCGGCAGGACTTTGTTCCAAGGTGGGGGATGCTGAGAGGGGATCTTCCTGATCACCCAGACTAGCCCTGTGACAACCCTCCCAGCATCTCCGTCTTCTTTCTCTGTCTTGTTTTTCCCCGAGGTACCTGTTGTAACACCTGCCATGTGAAACACTCAAGCTCACTCTGCATTCCCAGTGGCCAGACAGTGCCTGGTCCTTCACAGATGCCTAGTAAAGTATTTGTTGAGTGAAGGGCAATGCCAGGGTTAAGCTCTAGTTCTCCTAACTTTTAACATCATTTCTTAAAATTCACTACCTGCTGCATCTCTGGGGACAGGACAGAGCTTCCAAGTGTGAAGAGTTACTTCAGGTGCAGAGGCTAAGGGTCCCCGCTAATCCCATCTGGGCTGTTCCACTTGCCCAGGGAATGGCTGTTCTCCCGTGAGAGGGTCACGGTCACGGACGCATTTCCATGTGCACAAGCCACACTGTAGCAGAGTTCCAGATGTGCTGCCATACTGTCTTCTCAGGCCTGTGACCGTTGTGACCTCTGCCCTCCTCCACCAGGGCCCAGTCCTCGAGACCCCACTCCTCCCTTTCCCCTCACCCCACAGTTCTCACGTCAGCACTCACTGCCCACACATGCGCCTCAGAGGGACCCTTCCTGGCTGCGCTTCTTTCCGGCTCAGCCCCAAACACGACCAGCTGACAGTGAAACACTTTTAAAGCCAGAAACACACCCAACTCTGCTCTGCGATTTTCCATCACCCTTGAAAGAACCTCCTTTGTCCCATCTCTTACACTCTTATCTCGTGCCTTTGCCCCGTGCTTTCCACCTTGGGCTGGCTGGTCAAAGCTGGACGACGGAACAGCTATCAGGCTGTGTTCTCCACCCATCTTCCCCTCGAGTCCAAGCTGAATCACTCCTTCCACGCTCCAACCCCCACCGCCTCACTGGCCTGCTCCTCAATGGAAGGTGGCTTCTGGGCCTTTACTGACTCCTCCCCTCCTGGGCCCCACTCTGGTATCACTTCCTCATACTTCAGGATGCTCCCAGGCCAGTTACAGTGATAGTCTTCACAAACCTGAACCCTTATGATCTCCCTTACCCTCCTGCCTTTTCACACCCATCCCTGAAAAACCTTGTTCCACCCTCTCGTTTCTCCCAATTTGTCCTGAATTTCCTACAATTCCAGAAGTGCCTAGGGAGGAACCAAGTCTGCTCCTGTCTCCTCTTCTCTAAGGCTCTTCTGACAGTTCCTATGTCAACCTACACTCTTTTCCTTGTAATCTACTGGGTGCATGTGGCCTTCATTTGTCCAGGGACCTACTTTGAGTCTCACTATAGAGATCACTTGGTCTCTGGATGCCAGGGACTGTTTCCAGCACTCATCTCTAAGATAAATACACGTATGAATATTTATTTCTCATGAGACTCAGAATTCTGAGTGAATAACATAGTGATGAAAAAACCTGATTTTCCTTTCCTAGTAAGTCACACTTCCCTAAATAGGAAATTTTATTAAAGACACAGATTGCCTTCTTTGTAGGTAGAACATTTACACGAGACATACATCTATTTTGAGCCAGGCATCACAGAATTTTATGTTATTTCTCATTAATCCTGGCCCCCACGGCTCATAGGCAGAGGACTGTGCCCAAGGCCACTTAGCTACTACCAGCAACTGCCAGGACTTAAACGCAGTGAGCTCCAAGTTCAGGCCTCTCTCCCAAAACTGCCCCTCACACGAGCAAGTGCATTGGTTCTGTAATTTCATTTTTAGAAACTTATTCACTGCGAGCAACTGCCAAGATCTGTAAAGATGAACGTGTGAGGATGTGCGCCGTCTCACTGCTGCAACAACAGCGAAACTGGCAACAACCTCTGTGTCCATCACAAGACTGGTTATAATAAATATTGCTGGGGCGCCTGGGTGGCTCAGTCATTAAGCGTCTGCCTTTGGCTCAGGTCATGATCTCAGGGTCCTGGGATCGAGCCCCGCATCAGGCTCTCTGCTCGGCAGGAAGCCTGCTTCTCCCTCTCCCCCTCCCTCTGCTTGTGTTCCCTCTCTCGCTGTGTCTCTCTCTGTCAAATAAATAAATAAAACCATAAATAAATAAATAAATAAATAAATAAATAAATGCATGCTTCATCCTTGCAATGGAAGTCCATACTGTGCTGAGGAAAACGAGGCGAAATTATGTATTCTGGCACGGCAAATGTCCATGAAATACACGAAAAATGCAAGTTAGACATCTTGATGAGCACAAACCTATCTGTGTTTAAAAAATTCTGCAGATAGAGGTTACTTTAAAAAACAAAAACGGAAACTCTGCAGATACACACAGGAAAATTACAAGAGATGTACCTAAAACTAAGCTAATTTTTCCTTGGCACGGGGGAACTTCTGTTTCCTGCCTTGCACACGTTGATACTTTTTACTAAACCCTGTCCCCAGGGAAGGCCAGGGCCCTTACCTCGGCCGGTGTTGACAGTGGTGGGGCTGAAGGCCTTCCACACGATGGTCTCGCAGATGTTCGTGGCAATGAAGAGGGAGATCCCAGAGCCCAGGCCATACCCTTTTTGCAGAAGTTCATCCAAAAGCAAGACAATTAAGCCAGCAACAAAGAGCTGTGAAAATTTAAAGAGAAAAGAAAAAAAAATAAAGAAACCCTAAAAGACTGCGCATTACTGTTCTTCACGGGCCTGGTTCTTTCCTTCCATAGTACCGAGCATCTCTGCTATCAATGCTAAAGGCAGGGTAGGCCTCGGACAGTAGAGCCTTCCTCTGGTGAACTCGGGAAGGCTACCCCAGGGGCCCCGGCTTCTTCTCATGCTTCTTTTAAGCACGCCTCAGCTCTGTCCTTCAGGAGTCTAAGTGAGTGGGAGGGGCTACTCCGAAGGGGGGCCATGGCAGAGCTGCACAGACCTGAATGGTGATTAACAGGCAGATTCCAGCACCCATTTCAGAAGGATCTCCGTACATTCCTGTCATCACGTACACGATGGACTGGCCGATGGTAATGATCATGCCGAATACTGGAATCACAAGAACACAGTGTTCTCAAAGTGGGACACTCCACGGTCTGGAGAGAACAGTTCCAGAACACCTACTGTGCGCCAGGCATCAGGGAGGACGACAATGGAAATGAAGAATACAGACAATGCCCGCGAGGAGCTCGATCCAGGAACACTCAGTAGCCCCATGGCCAAGGTACAAGAGTACTGAGTACAAATACTCAAATGCCTTCTAACAAAAGCCCATGACCTCTTTGATTTCAGCTTCTCCTAAATTCACTTTCCTTTCAGTAATGGCAGGAGAAAAAGAGTTGAAATGTACTAATCTAGTACTTATTTTTTTTAAGATTTCATTTGTTTATTTGACAGAGAAAGAGAGTGAGAGAGCATAAGCAGGGCGAGTGGCAGAGGAAGAGGGAGAAGCAGACTCCCCAGAGTCCAATGCGGGGCTTGATCCTAGGACTCCGGGATCATGACCTGAGCCAAAGGCAGACTGAGCGACCCAGGCGCCCCACTAATCTAGTTCTTATGAAAGGTGAGTCAGGGAGCAAGGGAAGACGATGTCCAGAGGCACGTGATTTGGTGATGGCACTGACCTGCAGCACCCAAACTCAGGTCAGGTCACTTGGGCTCTGGAGAACTCCCTAGCTTGAATACGTGCCTGGGCCCTCTACAGGCCCATCATCCGGGTCTGAGTCCAGCACACTGAATATTAGCTCTGGGATAAGGTGATCCCTTCCCAGCTTGTAGTTAATGTGCTTTTAAAGAAAAAAACTCAGAAAGTAATCAATTTAGTTACTAGTCCCGTTTCCTTAGCCACAAAGCTCTTCTGGCCCAAGAGACACTTTCGTTTTTGTATGAACATGTCTTTGTTTCTTGTAGCTCATTAGACTCCATTGTTAGGCACAGTGGAATCCACATGTTTTTATTGGTTCCACAATACTAGATGGGTTTGGGATTCAATTTCAGCTTTTCTGCTTAGTTTGCACATAAAATACAATTTTACTCCAAAGTGCCCATCAAATAGTTTCCATTTGACTTTTTTAAAAAGTGCCTAATAAAACAGATGTCTTAAGACAGAAAAATTTCAAAAAACTGTCCAAAACTAAAGAGAAAATGGCTGATTTGTGCTTTTGAAAAATAATACATGTGTATATTTTTAAATCCTGATTTGTGTCTGAAACTGACAAGTCTGAATTGGATTAGTCTTTCTTGCTCAGTCATTTAACTTACTAACTTCAGAAGATCTGTAAAACATGCTGGTGTGGAAGAAAACATGGCTGCGTACACAGCTGTAAATGTCATTTCCTAATTAATACATTTCACTTCACAGCCAGAGGCTGCACGTGGTTCATTCTGAGGACTGGTTACTATTACTAGTAACATATTATTTGCTATAAAGCAAATACCATTATTATCCTCACTATTACAGATGAAGAGACGGAGACTTCAGAGCTGTCATCTAACTTCGTCCCAGGTCAGAGCTAGGACATAGCAGAGCTGGATGGAGAGGACCCCTTTCCCCTAAGCTGAATCCTTTCCAACTCCCAGCAGAGAGAAAACACACTTGTCGGGTAACTACTGTGGGCCAGGCACTGAGAGATTTTACACACACTATTCAATTGAAGTGTTACAACAGCTCTGAAGTTTTCCTTCTAAGTGGTAAGGAAATTGTGGCTGGTGGAGGGTGACACTGCCAAGCCCTGCAAGCCCTGCTCCTTCCCCTCGATCACATGGCGTCTGGGGCCTGTGCCCACCCCTGCCTCATCCAGCCCGTCCAGGTGCTCTCTTGCTAACATAGTCCACAGTACATACAGGGTTGGTGGGCCAAGAAGGTTACATTGTACAAAAACACCTGTTTTGATGCCCTAATCTTTAGAGCAAATTTGAATTCTCACCTACAGACATCTGAACATTATTCAAAATCTCACTTACACTTTTGGGCTCCATTGAAGAGGGCTCGGTCTTTCGGAGTGTCACCAACTTCAATTATTTTAGCGCCAGCCAAGAGCTGCATGATGAGGCCGGAGGTGACAATGGGAGAGATACCCAGCTCCATCAATGTGCCTTGAAGAAAGGGCAAGGCAAAACACAGCCAGTATGAGCTTAGAAAAGCAACACATTATTAAGAAAACGAATGAGCAAAATTCGACGGTGTGCCCTGTATACAAATCCGATGTGTTTCAGTTTGCTAGCAGCATTTAATTTCAAAAATAATCCCTAAATATCAATGATTAGAGTATAATTCAATTCATTCTGTTCAGTCTGTCAGGCAACATCTTATTCTGTTTAGGAAGTCACGTGGCATTTAAACAGACAACTGCATTTAAATTCACCCCAAACAGATTCATTCTGGTTTCACAGAGATAAGAAAGGTTCGTCTCTTCATCAGTTAATAAAAAAGGATAACATTCAGATAATTTCCAGAGTTTGGAAAGAAGGTCTGCACCATTGTATCTAGTTGTGAATAAACCTCTATTTCCATTATGCTAAAATGAGCTACACTTCCAACTGATTTAGAACTTAATTTGAACTATGTTTAAAAAGCGAGTTAATCAAAAGCAGTATCAACATAAATGTTCAAATCCTACCCCCCATAGGTAATGGGTTAGAGTATACAAAACACTGTTACGTATTTTTTTGGACATGTATATGTAACCTATAGATATAAAGATGTAGCTCAGAAATAAATTACATATTCTAAAGAATGTTATCAAAACAGGAGAAAGACTGGTACAAATGCCATCATTTCAGTTGTTTAAAAAACATTCTAGTTTTTCCATGTTTTTTTATCCTCTACAACCTAGACTTATCTTGTTATTACAGGTTTTATGTTGCATTCAAATGCCTCGGTGCTGAATTGGGCATCTGCTCAGGCTATTCAGCACAGGGCGCTAGCATTCCTCCCTAACACTCTCTGAATTCCACGTAAAGCCGAAGCCTGTAATTTAACCGAAGGAGGCCAGTCAAATCCACATTGCAAAGTGGTACAGATGGCCAGAGACCTACCTCTGTTAGAGGCTAGAATCACTCTCATCCAATAGAAAGGGTCAGCTGAATCTGAAGACATGATACCAAATAGCGGGATCTGGAAACAAGCAGAGAAAAGGAGTCAGCACATTGACCCCCAGCCTGCTCTTCACCCCACCCCAATTCTGGAATGGGAACTGTGCTTACCTGGCAGCATACTAAGAAGATAAAGAGGGTGATTGCGGTCCACAGCACTTTCTCCTTAAATTGAATCTACAGTGGAAGAGAATGCATTAAGGCAGTGGTTATTTATATAAGCAAGTTAATAGAAATGAACTTGAATTGGACCCCTTTCTCTGTTCACCAGAGAAGTGAGCCTTGAACACTCCAAACTGTGTGCCAAACATAAGCACTGAAACCTGAGTATGTGTGCTGCATACTTTCTATGTACAAGACAGTTATGCAGAGACCTTCACACGTACCATTTCATTTGATCCTCATATCACATAGTGTTATCTTTACAATGAGAAAACAGTCTTAGGAAAGCTAACTTGTCCCAAATCTCACAGCTGAAGTGAGTTTTGAGTGCAAAACCTTTGCTCTTAATCACCAGCATTAACAGTTTAGGATCAGATCCCAGATCAAACAATGTTCCAACAACAAGGAATTCCTAAAACAGACCAGTCCTTACAACCAGCCAAGGATAGTGATCATTCAAAAAGGCTTTGTAATTGATAAAATCTTCCAATTCTGTAGCTAACCAATTGGCAATGTGTGATAGTTCCACAGTGTATTTGCTATGAATTAAGGGTAAAACAATGTAATAAAAAATACTGGGGGGGAAGGCAAGGAGAGTTACACCTTTAACCTACTCAATGCCTACTAATAGCACCTATTTAAGACTTTTCACATCTCCTTGGGTACACAGGTAGGCCAAGTGACTACTGGGAATTATTTTACAGATGACGAGTAAGTACCATCAGATAAATTTAGAATCCCCTCCCAAGGTCCCTCTGGTACCAAGTAGAACCGGCAGCTTTTCCAGGTGTTCTGCCTCAACAACTGATTGCCTTCCCTAGTACTTGCTGCCTATCCTGCAAGAAGGGGTTTAAAGGGCTTAAAAAACACCGTTAATTATTGTGTGGACTAAGGATTTTGATATGAAAAAATACCTTGTGAGCGACAGCATTAAGTGAACAAAACTGTGCTCTGAAAAAGTACTTTTTAACTGGAGGGGAGAAGTCTAAAGTCTACACAAGCTCTGAGACATAGTCTGACTCTCTGGTCAGAATAGAAGTTGAGGTCTTCCATGACTGCCTTTAGGCAGGCCCCAAGAAGACTGCCATGCAAAGGCTGTGGGCACTCACATGAAGCTGGGGTGAATTCACAGAACCCTTCTTCCTCTTGAGAATGCTCCCTTTCCCACCTGTCACCTCACCACACCAAGAAATTAGGAGGCCAAGGGAAGGCAACACCACTTCCGGCTAACTAGTTGAAAGGATTCTTTATGGGAAAAAAGAGTAGACAATTTTTATAAGACTCCTCATTTCTTAATAACCAAGTCTCCTCTCCTGGATGCAGCCAAATTCAACAGCAAAACTTCAAAAGCTCTTTATCTCAGTCCTGTCTACTTTACCTTTGAAATAGCCCCTGAATCAGCCAACAATCACTTCTCATTCAAAAAGCTTTTGAAATTGATAAAATCTTGCTATTCTGTAGTTAACTAATTTACAATATGTGATAGTCCCACAGTGTATTTGCTATGAATTAAGGGTAAAACAATGTAATAAAAAGTACTGGGGGGGGGGCAGGGAGCCCACCCCATACACCCTCTGTTACAAAAGCCTTGAAACCACTCTCATTTTGTACCGATTTCCAGAGCATTTTCTAATCACCTGGCCCTTCCATTGCTCCCCACCACCCTTTATGTTCCAGCAATATGGTCCTACAGCTAACACCCTCCCACCTGCTTGTCTGCTTTGCACACCATATATTCCTTATGCCTGGAATTCCTTTCCCTCTCCTCAAAAAAATTATTCTTCCATTAAAACCACCATCAGAAACCACATCTTCCAGAATTAAGCCCTTCCCGAGCCACTGCTACACCTTGCACATGTTTTCACTGCTCCATCTACCACACTTAGTTACAAGGCCAAGGTCAGACAGCTATTAAGAGGTTTGTAAGGGTGGGTCCCAGGCTTGTCTACCTCCAGAGCTATACCTTCTCTACTATGCTAGGCTGTTGGGGTGTAAGGGACAACTTTGTATTTTGCCCCTCAAAGGCAGCACGTATGTGAAGCACTTATACAAAATGATTTTAAGTTAAAAAAAAAAAAGGAGACTTCAAGAATGTAAGTGTCCATATTGATGTCAAGTACACAGATGTATATGTGAATGCATGAACAACAGTCTGAAAAGAATCTAAAGACAAAAATCTTTTACTATTCATTCTCTTGAATGCAAGAATCTAAATAAAACTTCCCCATTGTTTAACAGCTTTACTAACATTGGCAATACTCGCTATCCTGGGCTGTGTAGGAGCAGAAATTCTGATAAAGGTTCTGCATTTTTATCTTCTCACGTTTTAATATGTCTGCTGTAAAAAGCAGGGTTCACAAAATGCCCTTTTTCTCTGTACCTTTTATGGCGACTGTCAGAGTACTAACTCATATGCACAGGACAAAGTGACTGCTCTTAGCTCCTTTTAGCACATGCACACTAAAAGCTTCTCCTAGGAAAAAACAACCCAGCCCTGAAGTGCTCCTGTTGAAGGTGAAGAAGGAAAGGTAACTCAATCCGAGTATCCTGAGGCTTTTGAGGCCTTATTCATTCACCGCCGAGATCCACTTTTGGGACAGAGCAAACCGGAGGCTTTGTCTGCTGGAGTAAAAGCCACAAAAGATGCTCCAAATAAAGCACCACGATTTCGGTGGAAATTCCCACACAACCAGGTCACCTTCCGACAAAGCTCAGGAGTATACACAACTACACTCCAGGAGAAAGGGATGGCAAACAGAGTTTCCATCTGGCGTGTTGAAGCCATTTTTAATTGTACTGTAAACTTCGAGCGCCCAGACATTTCATGAAACCTTCTTGGACGGCGATTTCGGGGACTTACCTTCCTCTCCGGCTTCTGAATTTCCGGCAGGATGACACAGAAGGGCTTGATGACTTCCAGAAATTTGACTTTGATGGGAGAGACAAAAGCAAAGTTAGGGCACGTAAAAACCTTCCCCGCTCCCTGGGGAAGCGTTCTGCCTAGCATGAGTAGGAGCAGGGACTAGGGGAGCAGACCGCGCACGGGGGCGCGGGCCTCGGTCTGCGGGGACCCGGGCGGGCCCGGGGGTGGCCGCTCGCCCGGACCGGTGAGGGGAAGGGGGGTTTTGATCCTTCCCGGCGCTGCTGGGGGCTGCCCCGAGGGACTCACTCGCCATGGCGGCGGTAGCTCGGGCTCCGGATCCCGCTTCTGCTCCGCTCCACTCCGGGTGAGGTGAGGCTGTCCGCGGCCCAGCCCGCTCCGGAGCACTGCACCTCTACCGAGAGACACGTCAGTGCTAGCACCGCGGCGAGCGGCGCGGCGCGGCGCGGGGCGGAGCTGGGGGCGGGCCGCAGGCTGCTTCCGCTTCCTGCCACGCGCTGCGGGCCGGCCGCGGCGCCGCACAGCTGCCGCCGAGACCACAACTCCCGGCATGCAGCAGGGCTCCTGGGCCTCCCGGGAAGAGGGTGCGAGACGCCGGGGCGGGGCGGGGCGCGTCGCGGGGCACGCCGGGATTGGGAGTGTGCTGAGGCTGCGCAGAACTGGCTAAGCGAGAGCGGTCGGTGCAGGCTGTGTTGTGGCTTCAGAGGCTGGGTGGGCGTCGGCTAGTGGAGAACCTGAGGCAAAGGGCAGAAGCCGTCTGTGCCCACAGCCCTGCGAGCAAGTTGATGTCCCAGGTCACCTCTATGCCCTTCATAGTACTTATAACTATGAATTAGGAAATAGAGTGTAAGCTCCTTTGATCAGGAGCCTGTGTCCCGGCGCAGACCGAAATGCCCGGCTCCTTGTAGGTGCCTGGCTAGTGAGGCCGACGGAACACCCTCGTTTGTTGAGTCATTCAGCAAACCCGGAGGCCTGCCCTGGGCACAGGGCCTCGGAAATGACTCCTGCCGAGTCCCTGCCATCTGAGGACGAATGGGGTGAATTCGTGGAGAGACAGATGGTCAGAGAAGAACTGGGAAAGCTCCTGATACAGTTACGCCTGCTAGGGAATCCAGGAAGGCCTCCCAGGAGAGTTGCTTTTCTGCTAAACCTCGACGGATTCCGGCAACAAGAAATGAGGGAGGAGGGTGCCCCAGCTTGAGGAAACCTTTTTGAGCAAGGCATGGCGGTATGACCGCCTGAGATCTTTGGGGGGAAATGTCCTGTTTGGCTGGGGCAAAGGATATGTGAAGAGAAACAATATGATTTAACGTTCGTGGGGGATAATAGGTGGGGCAAGGTATGCTAGACACGGAGTTTGGAATTTATTTATTTATTT